GCTGCCCTTGTGGCTCCCTGAAGCTTTTTCAAAAATGTTCAAAAAGATGGGGAAGGTTAGGATATATTTTTGTTTTTATATGATTTCTATAGGAGGACAAACATTTTTAACGTTTTCAAATGCTGTAAAAGTGTGTAGAGTTAATATTTAATTTCAACATTTCTGTCAACGAAGATTTGCGTCATAGCCTGCGACACAGGTTTCTATCAGCAGGGCGGGATGCCAGGCAGGTGGCTGTTGTAAACAAACCGGGAGATAATAAAGCATGGAAAACCGTTCACAGATAGTGACCAACCACTTGATTTCAGTGGCTATTTAATCATGAAGGCTCATTATGTATTTGTAGCCAACTTAGTCATTTTTATAGTAGGCTAATATAGCTACTATATATACACATACAGCATGTGTTTCCTTCATTATAAGGCTTATATAAGGCTTTACATTTTTTGCGGCTCCAAACATATTTGTTTTTTGTTTTTTTTGGTCCAATATGGCTCTTTCAACATTTTGGGTTGCCGACCCCTGTCCTGTAGAAATCATATTAAAACAAAAATATATACTAACCTTCCCCATCTTTTTGAACATTTTTGAAAAAGCTTCAGGGAGCCACAAGGGCAGCGCTAAAGAGCCGCATGCGGCTCTAGAGCCGCGGGTTGCTGACCCCTGCACTACACTGACAAAACGTAAAATACTTACGTTTCCTCGTGAGATCAGGTTGGATCGGCAGCTTTTGCATAGATTAATAATCTCTGTCTATTCCATCAAGTTCTATCTATATATATAAAAACACTTTTTTTACTTTTCATCTGCACCTAGGCCCGCGGCAACTTCCTCCTATGCTGTTGTAACCTGCAACTCGTTTTTGTTTGTTTGTTTGTTTTTACAAATTATGTAGATCCTAAAGAACTGTGTGCTTCTCAGCTCTATGAGGAGTGTCATTCATGTCTCTTCAGGTGCACTCAGTCAGAAGACAATCGCCTGTGGTATCATGTCATTTTGTTTTTGATCGTCAGGATGCTGTAGGGCTATAGTTCTAATACAATATAGTTTTAATGATATTTATACATGATCAAACTAGTGTGCAACATAAGCAAAACTGACACTAAGTGAAGTTTATTTATAAACAAATTTTGAGAGGATCACGTGCTTATGATTGTTCAACTTTAGCT